GAAAAATGTCCATATTTTTCATTTTTTTGGTATTTTCATTCTTATTTTCACATTTCATTTCGAAAAAAAATATCATTTTCATCCATTTTCTCAATTAAAAATTGTTAAAATGACGAATATACCATTCTTTTTAAATAAAAGAAAAAGAAAAAAAATTAATTTCAATTAGTCTCAAATTTTTAAAAAAAACGCAAATGAGTCTTAAATAAATTATTTAAAGGGTAATTAGCACATAACGTCTTCATCTTCCATTACTATTGTGAAAAAGTCTATACTTCCCATTTTTTATTTTTATTTTTTGTATTTTCACCCTTAATTACACATTGGATTGCACAAATCATCGTTTCTATACATTTTCATATAATTTCCCAATAAAGAGCTATGAAACGATGAATATACACTCATATTTAAATAAAAAAAAGAAAATTAAAGAATTTTTTTTTAATTTCTAATTTTTTAATAATTTATTTGGGATTTTTTGCACTTTTTAATTTTTTTTAATTTTTTAATAAATTTAATTGGGACTCGTTTACACTTTTTTTTAAGAAAATTTTTTTTTCCAAATTTTTAATAATTTAATTAGAACTCGTTTGCACTTTAAAAAAAAAAATCTTATTTCTAATTTTCTAATAATTTTTTAGGGGCTCGTTTGCACTTTTTTTTAATAATTTACTTGAGATTTGTTCGCATGTTTTTTTAAAAAAAATTGGGACTTTAGTTACAATTAATTCTTTATCTTTTTTTATTTAAATATGATAGTATATTCGTAATTTCATAGCTCTTTATTGAGAAATTGGATGAAAATGTACATAAAGGATGGTTTGCTCAATCAAATGTGTAATTAATGGTGAAAATGCAAAAAATAAATAAATAAAATGAATTGCAGGGATGTTTTTCGCAATAATAATGAAAAGTATAGAGATTATGTGCAATTACGCTTTAAAAAAAATTGGGACTATGACTGAAATATATTTTTTCTTTTTGTTTTATTTAAAGAGAATGATATATTCGTCATTTCGCAATTTTTAATTGAGAAAATGGGTGAAATGACATTTTGCGCAATGAAAAGTGAAAATAAGGATGAAAATGTCAAAAAAAATGAAATGTACTTGCATTTTCTACATAATTGCGAAAGCTGAGGACATTTCTATACAACAACTTTTTGATACTATCTGTGACTATTAGTCGACTCATTTTATAATTTCTAATATTAAGTCGTGTTTTTAAATTAGGGTTCAACAAAGACTCGTAAAAGGCGCATCAATATGTGTGAAGATTAAGAAAAATTATTATTGACTGTTTTTATAATCATTAATTAATAAAAAGGAATAAAAATTTATTAGTATTCTAATAAGAGCATTTTAATTGGATTTGACTCAGTTGTAGCAGTCGATAACATAAAAGGTATGTGGGTTAAGTACTAGGTGAGAATTCATTAATTAACCTATACTCAGGAATGGGTTGGTTGGAATTCTTTTGAGCTATTAAAGACAAAATTAGGAGATTAAATTAAGAAAATATTAATATAATATGACGTTAATCAATAAATTAATAATAAGTTGATATTGGATCTCGTGTTATTACAGTTGTCCTTGAATTGGATAGCTATGGCTGAATCTATTTGTTGTTGCCAATTCATAGACTATTTTTCTATTTTAATAAAATAATAAGATCTACAATTTTTGCTGTTAAAATGTTAAAACTTGAAAATAATACAAAGTAGTGCTCATTCACTAATACTTATATCGAGAATTTCGATACTATTTAATCATTGTTATTTGTTATCGAGCATAATATTGAATTTTACGAAAACAAATAAACAGTTTTTGTACGAGTTTTCTTGGAATAATGAATAAATTGAGAGAATATTTCGAACCAATTTTTTTTTTTTTTCAAAAAAAATAATAAAATTGATTCCCTTGTTCGTCAGCGTTTCATGATTCAAAAATTTCTTTTAGATTTAAAGGTAAAAATTATCCGTTCCTTCGTTTCAACATTTTGATCAAGTCTTGTGAAAAATGAGGTGATTTTTGAAAGATTTTAATGAACATTTGGAATTTGATTTATAAGTTTTTTGTGCGTCGTAAACTAAATCTATGCTTATCGGCTTCAAATTAGCTATACTTGAAGCAAGAGCTCCTAGTTCTATGCCAACATCTAGACTACACAAAAAATAATTTTGGTGACATTCACGGAGATATTGATGAGAAAATTGACTTTCAGGTATGGTATATGAATAAAAATTGATCAACTTTGATACTGGCGTTGATTAAAACACCGATCACCAACCAATAAAATATTTAACATGCTGAATGATGACTCAATATTTGTTGGAATTTTTTCATGGGATAATCAAAGTTTGAGAGGATATTTCCAAATTACCTCTTTTTAAAATTCTTTTTATGAATGTTTTATTACATTGATAGACAACATTTCAAGATTCGAAATTTTCTTCGAGGTTTAAAGGAGCAAAGTTTCATGATTCTTCATTCAACATTTTGATCAAATCTTGTGAAAAATGAGGTGATTTTTGAAAGGCGTGAATGTAAATAATGTATTTTTCAAAAGTTGATTTATTAGTTTTTTGTGTGTGATATACTTAAAAGAAAATTGAAAATGGGGGCAAAATATATAGACCTTTGGCTTTAATTTTATTTTTTAAAAAATAAAAACCAAGAAAATAGCCATTTTCTTGATTTTTTTAGAATAATCAATTTCAATAATGCTTGTGATACAATAAATTCCGAAATAGTGTTCTATCATTTTTATGAGTTGTTTTTGTATTATTTTTAACTAGTATCTTTTTTAGGATAGCCATGGTCCAAAACCATCGATTCCAAATTTAATTATGAAACTGTTCGGGTTTGGTTCCATTTGATTTTATTTGGTTCGATTATATTCGGTTCCAGGGTTCTCTACAATAATTATTATTTTTATATTTACAACAACATTATATTAATTCAATTATAACATATTCGATCTTAACTTTTACAAAATAATGTGGTCCAATTCCTGACGTCTTTTCTCTCTTTCTGTTGAGTTGTTCATAGATTTGTTTGTTAAAATCACATGAAGATGAAGATAGCGATCTCATAATAATAGAACGGTAGAAATTACACTATGGTAAAATAAGGTATTTAGGTAAAATTTAAGTCAATTTCATTAAGTTGAATTTGGCTGGAAAATTAGAAATAATAATATTATATTTTGGGTTTGAGCTAAATTAATTAGTTCGCAAATTTATTTAGAAGAAAATAAAATAATTTGGCTTGTTGAAGATTAAAAAAAAAATTAAAGAGATTCAATTTTTCGTCTAGAATCGAGAACTGAACCAAATTCATCGATTTTCGATTCAGATATTCGTTCAGGCATTTAATTTAAAAATAACCGCTTGGTTCGAAAATTTTGTCCAACTCTATTTTTTAATATCGTATTTATATTTATTTAAATATATTATAAACCAATAAGTTTCACATGATACATTCAAAGTCGGAAATATTTAATTAACAAAATACATATACAAAATAAAAGAATGTTTTGAAAAAAAAAAAAAAACACAATTAGGACATAAAATGAAATATCAATATGGGTCAATGATTTACATTTCAATGGTAATTTTGCATCCTTAGAGTATGTTTGGGACACATTCTTTTGAAAGAATGTATTATTGAATAGTAGATTGATGGAGAATGTGTGGTTAAAAATGAAGGAAAAGTTATTGATGTGATGTAAAATATTATTTTATTAAAAAACGTGTGGTTGAAAATGAGGGGCAATGATTTACATTTCAATGGTAATTTTGCATCCTTAGAGTATGTTTGGGACACATTCTTTTGAAATAATGTATTATTGAATAGTAGATTGATGGAGAATGTGTGGTTAAAAATGAAAGAAATGTTATTGATGTGATGGGAAGTATTATTTTATTAAAAATGTGTGGTTGAAAATAAGTAAAAGAATGAGAATGAAAAAAATAATGTGTACCAAACATGGCCTTATTTACATTTCGATTGATCTAAATCAAATTTTGTTTAAGTGGAAAGATCCGAATCCTCTTTTTACTACTAGTGGACGTAAAAAAAGATGCAAATTTTTACATCTTTTTTTATATTTTCTATTGAAAAATATAATTTTTATTTCCTTTGCATCTCTTCACTGAATATATTTTCGACCACTTTTAAATCTATTTTACACGATTTGAAATGCTCTTACACCACTAAAATAATAGAACATATGACCATTCTTGTGTCAAGTACTATTTATTCATACTTTTTTAAAAAATAATGAAAATAGCAACATCAATAGAAAGATAAATTATTTTCGTGCTTATATGTTAGGAATGACGTCATAATGGGCCCAAAATAAATGGTCCAATATTTCAGCAATGCTGACAGGTTCCCCATACGACTAGTCACGTGACACAACTGGACTAAGGCCTAACCATCTATGGCCCAATTAATTGGCCCACTAAACAATGGACGCGCCTTATTGTCATTGGCCGTATCCATTACGTGCCAACCAGCGCGTCGGTCTAATATTTTAGGCTTCAATACCTTATAAAAACCATCCTGGTCAAAGCCAAAGTTTACCAGTCCTCAACTATCATTTTGACTCCAAAACACATTAGCCACTCACACCACCAACCGGAGCAGTTCCCATCACCACCACCACGACGCCGCCGCGGTCATTTCCCGCCACCACCCATTAGAGACAACAGTTTTTACTTAACATTTGTACATAAACTGTCACAATGCTTTGCAAATCACATGCCTAATTTTTGGGGCACCATTCACTCCACTCTATCCATATCCCAGATTTTCTTTTACAATTTTATTCAGAAAGAGTGTTGAAAAACACTCACAACAACAGAGATATATACATACATATATACATATAGAAAGATGGATAATTCTAAAGCTACATTTTCTCCTACTAGACTATTATTGTGTGATGAAAGTGAGACAAGTTTATATGAAAAAGAAGTGGATTTGCTTTGTTCAATGGATGAGGAGTACATACAGTCATTGCTTGATAGAGAAATGCACGATTTTGCACAAATTCCTTCAGGTGATTGGATTAAAGAAGCCCGTTTGGATGCAATCCAGTATATCCTCAATGTTAGTATCTATTATTAATTTAACTGTGAAATTTTAGGTTATTTTTTTGTGATTAAGTGTGTTGACTCATTTTTCAAATAAATTCTTGGTATTTTTTTATGCAGAAAAGGGATTTGCTTGGATTCACATCCCAAACAGCTTATTTGTCAGTCATTTATCTTGATAGATTTCTTTCAAGAAGATCTATTGATGTAAGTTAAAGCCATTTCTTCTAAGAATTTCCGTTACTTTTTTTTTTATTTTTGATTTGTTTTTCAATGTAATGTAGGAGGAAAAATACTGGGCTGTGAGATTACTGTCAATGGCTTGTCTTTCATTGGCTGCGAAAATGGAGGAATGCGCGGTGCCGGCATTACCGGAATTTTGTGTTGACGAGTACAGTTTTGAGAGTAGTGTGATACAGAGAATGGAGCTTTTGGTACTGAATACATTGGAGTGGAAAATGGGATCACTCACTCCTTTCGCTTTTACTCAGTTCTTTTTAACAAAGTTCTGCCAAAGTTCTCTTCAAAGAAATGCGATGTCGACCATTGTGGAAGTTATTTTGGGTTCACTAAAAGGTAGTTTATTCTTCCAATTTCCAATACAAAGAATTGTATTAAATTTTTTATAATTTTGAACAATATAAACTTGTAAAATGACCAATGCAGATGTGGAAATAATGTGCTATAGATCATCTGTGATAGCAGCATCAGCCACTTTGGTGGTATTGGATCCAAGATTAACTAGAGATGCCTTGGAGCACAAAATCAATCTCTTATCTTCAACTAGTGTCCTCAAAATTGTGAGAATTTCTTTATATGGGATTTCAAATAATTTTATTCATTTCTCTTTAAAAATAGTGATTATGTTTTGGATTTCTTGGTGGCATTTGTTTCTGTTTCAGGAAGACATTGTCTCTTGTTATTATCAGATTCTGGAATTGGATATATTGAAGTTAAACAGGGGCGATATTATGTCTCCTGATTTATCACCAAATCAATTGCAAATTGCTCAAGTTTTGGGAAGTTCTTCGGTTGCTACTTCTGCTGATAGTGCTAAAAGAAAGATGCTTATATTCAATCAAAATGACCATATACCTCACAAGAAACAACAGCACTGAAAAATTCGACTACAGGGATTAGTCCGGTGGATGAAATGAGTAAAGATGGAGATGTTTTGATGTTGATTATTGGGTGTCTATTGAGCCACAAGTAAAAGGGATTAGAAAAGAAGTGAAAAAAAGTAGAAGTTTGGCAGAGCTAATTTTGGTCTAAAATCACAGCTCATAAGGTGTGGAAAGAAAGGCCTCAAGATATGACTTCATTTACCAACTTTCACCATTCTTGTTTACATTGTCCATTTTGTTACTAGTATAAATTTCATTTTATTTTTTTTTTCATTTTTGAAAGGGCTGATGTTATAGGTTAGGGATTGAGGAAGCTTTATCTGTGATTTGATACATCTATGTCACATTTAAAGACTAATGTGATTGGATTTGTTTGAATGTTTGGGGCAAGCCTTTTGGGTGGGGTTCTGCTCCTTTCTTCTGTTGATCTTTTCCTTCTTTTGTGGGGTTATGAAAAGGCTTGACATTGTTTCTGGAAAGGCCTACACTTTCGAGTAGTCGAGCTCAGATGTATTTGGAATAAAGCTTAGTTTTCTTACGCTATTTGTTAACATGCCCCTCCAGAATGCTTTTCATCGAAATGGAATCTGTTCTATGGAATCTTCATAACAATTTCATATTTTAATGCCAGATTACGGTCGACACACACTTAAGTTGTATGCTTGTAAGGTGGTGTGGACAACACTCGACAATATTAAGAAAGAACAAAGTAGAAATCGTGTTCACTCTGCGACGAACAAACGAAATACACGGGGCGTCTTGCAGCCCGTCCACTCTCCCATTATTGCCCATCCAGTAGTCAAAATGCAAAGCTGTCATGAAATACTTTTGGTACTCTTCTGATCTGCCAGCTTTGTTTTCCAAAGAAAATTAGTTTCTTGACTTTGTAAGCAACTATGGGCACCATATTAACTCTACCCTGACCATTCTTTTCAATATATCTGTTGTGTGTAATTAAACAACTTTCGGCCACACCTGCTTGAGCCCCCATTTTTGAGAATATACTATGAATTTTTTTTTTTTTGAAGAACGCATAGTTAAAAAAATAGGGTAAAATTTTGAACTTATATGCACATTTATTTTATTAAGAAAATGTACATTTGGAAATGAGTTAGGGAAAATGAATTTTAAGAATAGGAGCTAAATGAAAGTTAGTTTTTAGGGGCACTTACAAAAATACTTTTAAAATTAATGACATTTTGAAAAATCATATGAAATGTTTGTAGGAAGTAAAAAATACTGTGTAATATGAAAAGTGACACAATGTCACTTTTTTTTTTTTTATAAAAATTGTCACTTTTTTATTTTTTTTTTAAAAAGTGACAAACTCAAAAAAATTGACAAAACTAAAAAAGTTACACACTCTCAAAAAGTGATACAAACTCAAAAAGTGACACAAACTCAAAAAAGTGACATGAATTCAAATACAATGTCACTTTTATTACAAAGTGATATTTGTAACTAAAAAGTGATAGAAATTAGAAAAAAATAACAAACAATAAAAAAATGTGATAGAAAAAAGTGGCAAACACTAAAAAAGTAAATAAATTCTAAAAAAGTGACAAGCGTTCAGAAAAGTGACAAAAAGTTAAAAAAATTGCAAACATGTGAAAAAGTGACGAAACACTTGTAGTAAATCACTAAAGTTGTAGAGACTTCTAAAAAGTTTCAATTGAATACCTCGTGACTTTGATAAACTTTTAAAAAGTTTCTCAAAGCCTCAATTGAATACACTTGAATTTTTGGAGAGTGTCTAAAAGTCTCAATTGAATACACCTAAACTTTTGAAATCTTCGAAGTCCTAATTAAATACATCCTCTTAAAAAAAAAAGTAACAAATATCCAAAAAAAGTGACAGAAATTGAAAAAAAGTGACGAATTCAAAAAAAGTGACACAAATTAGGTCTTTGTGTGTTGACACGTCAGGAAGGCATGGACTATTTCTCATATCAATTAAGAGTTTGAAGTACTCCTCATTTCTATGATATTAAGC